AAAAAAAAAAAAAAAAAAAAAAAAAAAAAAAAAAAAAAAAAAAAAAAAAGATGACTGGTAAGGGGATCTTAACCCTTGACTTGGTGTTGTCAGCACCACGCTCAGCCAGTGAGCGGGAACCGGTCTGTATGTGGGATCCGAACCCTCGGGCGGGAGCGCCGCCGCGCTTCCCAAGCGGCGCACTATCCAGTGCGCCACTGGGCCGGCCCACCCGTCATCTTTTAAAAAAAAAAAAAAAAAAAAAAAAATTACTGGCCTGGTAGGGTCAATACATCAATGCTATAGGAAGAAAGAAAAAAGGCTGGGGGTAGCCATTTCTGTTCTACCTTAGGAGATTAAGAAGATATAACAAATCAATGCATGTCACCTCAACTATGAATGGCTTCTGAGCATTGAGACAATCTTGGTATATATAAAAATGGGTCATTAGGATTTCAGAGAATTAATATTTATTTTCTTTGGTATAATAACAATCTTCAAGTGGTACAGGAGAATATCCTTCTTCTTAAAAGATGCCTGTTGGGCTGGCCCATGGCTCACTCGGGAGAGTGCGGTGCTGATAACACCAAGGCCCCGGGTTCGGATCCCATATAGGGATGGCCGGTTCGCTCACTGGCTGAGCGTGGTGCTGACAACACCAAGTCAAGGGTTAAGATCCCCTTACCAGTCATCTTTTAAAAAAAAAAAAAAAAAAAAAAAAAAAAAAAAAAAAAAGATGCCTGTTAATTTAGGGATAAAGCATTCTGATGTCTCTAATTTACCTCCAAAGAGTTCGACAAAAAAAACCCCAAAATTACACATATACATAAAACAAGTAAAACAAAAGTGGCAAAATGTTAACAATTATTGAATCTAAATGGAAGATGTTCACTGTACTAATCTGACTTTGACTTTTTTGTATGTTTGAAATTTTGCTCACCCAGTGAGCCAACCAGCCATCCCTTTATAGGGATCCAAACCCATGGCCTTGGTGTTACCATCACCACACTCACCCGAGTGAGCCACAGGCTGACCCATGGACATGTTTCTGAGATTTATTCATGTTGAGTATCTAATTGGTTTCTTTTAATTGCCATGCTCCAATTAATTTATTCAATCCCCCCCAGTTTTATTATGTAAAATTTCAAACATACAAAAAAGTCAAACATACAAAAAAGGGTTAAGATCCCCTTACTGTTCATCTTTAAAAAAAAAAAGGATATGTGCTTCTGTAGCAATAATAAACACATACACACACTGAGAACGTGAGGCAGAATGACCCCTTGGGCTCCTTCCTTGATAGGCAACGATGGGGGAGGTTTATTAGGGTCCAAAAGGAAGAGAGGGACACTGCCATCCAGCTGGACTCACCTGTCTCCCACTGACCTTGCTGAGAATCTGAAGAACTGCTTGATGGCCGATGGCGACAGCAGCTGCCCTCTTTTCTCTTTGAAGAGCTAGAGGTGCCATAGCTGTAGCGTTCTGGAGACACTGGGTGAAGAGAAGAAGCGTTCACAGCCTCCCACCCCTCTCAGGCCCAGCTCCCAATCACCTCCCCTAGAAGAATGCCTGCACCACACAGTGCCCAAGCACCTGTCCAAAGGCTGCTCAGATGCCTTCTGAGACAGAAGATTCATCACCTCTTGCGGCCATCCAACCCATGTCTATAGCAGCTACAAGTGTCAGGGTTATTCTCCAAGCAGGCATAGTGAGAATCTCTGCAAAGGCCCCCTGCTCCCATCCACTCTCCCCAGCTCTCCCTGAGGCCCCAAGAAGTAAGCAGACCTTTCTACAGCCTCCACAAATCTTCTCTTCTAGAATCTGACCCTCAGATATGTTTTCCCAAAAACACTGTCAGCCTTCCCTAGAGTTGCCCTTCTCCTGTAAACCAAATCTCATGGGCTTACTCTGGCCATATTGCCCCCTGCCCAAACTAGCCACTGCACTTGTAGTAACCCCACTAAAGGCTCAACAGCCTAAGCATACAAGGGCTCCTGACTGCCTGAAACCCTCCCAGCTCCTTACCTTCTCAGCTCTGCTACCCTCCAGGAGCACTTCTCTCACAAGGATTAATGGCATCAACTCTGGCAAGGCAGATTTGAATCCTGGCTTCCATACTTTCTAGGTACATTATCTGCAAGCCCCTTTGTGATGTGGCTTCTCACCTACCTCTCTGCCCTTGCTTGGATCCCCTCTGCTCCTGCCACGCTGGCCTCTGATGATGCCCAGCTCATTCCTACCTCAGGGCTTGGATCCCTGCCTTTCCCTCTGCCTGGAATTTTCTCCCCTGAGATCAATACATGGCTGGCAGGGCAGCCTCAGTTCAAATATAACCTTCTTAAAAAGCTCCTCAGTGGTTATCCAATCCAAGATATCTTCCCTTCACTTTGCTGCCCTCCCTATTCTCTCTATTCCATTACTTTCAGTCTTTCTACAACCAAATATAAGAATAAATTATTTACCTGTTTTATTGTCTGATTCCTCCACTAAATGTAAACTTTATGCAACAAGCACCTTGTCAGTCCCATCACCTTGTATCCCCTACACAGGATTTAGTTCTTATATGTGGGCAAGCTGCTTAACTTCTCTGAACCTGATATATTTTCCCTGTACAGTGAGGACAGTAACAGGACTTCCTCATGGAATTACTAGGAGGACAAAAGATGATAGTTCATGAAGGACTTAACAGGCACATGCTGTGCCTAGCATGAAATAAGCTCTCTATAAACAGTGGCCATAATCATCATTATTGACATGGCCAAATTCTACACCCCTCCCAAAGCCATGTCTCCTCCCTCTTGTGTTGCTCATTGATACTCTGGGAATAGGGGGGAATGGACTGGGAAACGGGCTATTTGATATGACACTGTCCATATCAGGGCACCATGGGGGCCCAGCGGGAGCAAGGCTCTCTCCTCACCGAAAGTCCAGCATCTTCCCATTCAACCATACCTGGCCGGGGTCGCTTGCGCGCCAGGTGCGGCAGCAAGTCATGGCGGGACAGCACGCGCAGGAGTTGCCCCAGCAGCCGCAGGTTGCTCTCGTCGCACTGCCCGCGGCGCTCCAGCTCCAGCAGCAGCTCCAGGCCGCTGCGGGCCCGAGCCAAGCCTCCAGCAGCGCCGGGAGCCTCGTCCAGCAGGAAAGCCAGGAGCTCCAGCTCGCACTCGGTCAATTGCCCGCCTACCACCTCGAACATACGGTGAAGGGACAGCATCCCGTAGTAGTCCAGGCACTCATCCTCCTCCCAGCTCGGAGCCGGGGTCGACCCGGACAACGCCATTCCCGGGCGAGGGGGGCGGAACAAGCTCAGAACTGGGGCCTAGAACCCATACGGGAAGGAAGCAGTGGTCAGCGACGCGGGATCCCGGACCTCACACCACCAGTGCGTCTTCCCCGCCCCGTCACGCTGGGCAAGGCCGCTCCCACACCCGACTGTCTAAGCCTCCCCCTCCCTCAGAAAGGAATGGTATTGCTCGAGGTCCCCTAGTAACAGGTCGAAACACCAGACCCCGCTCATCCTCTGACCAGTAGGGCCGCCGCGCCCGAACGCCCCTCCCCAAGTGGTACGTTCCGAACTAACCTCCGGACCCAACCAAGTGATTCGGCCCGAGGCCCATCCCGGGGGACCCTGCTTACTGCCCTTTGACTCTCGGTAATACTGTCCGGACGTGCCCCTTGGCTCCGTCCACTCGTACTGTCCGATTAGCCCCACGGCTCCACCCAAGTAGTACCGTCCGAAAGTGACCCTCCGCCCCCTACAAAAGGGTCCAACCAAGGCAGCTCCACGCAGGTGGAACTGGCCGAGCCCGACCTCTTCGCCCTGTATGGGCGGTCCCACGCTCTCCCCAGCGTCCACGTAGTTTCGTATACCCTCCACCAGCCGTCCTTAGGCCCCTCTGGATCCTCACCCGATTGCGGCGTCCGACGACTCCCGAGCGACGGCCGCAGCCACTTGTTTTGGATCTTTCTGGCACCTTCTGTATTATTACGCCTGCGTCACCTCGCCCCTCCTTCTTCCCCCAACTCGCGCAGGTGCGACCGCCACGCCCCTTAGGCGCAAGCGCAGAATGAAGCCTTCAAGCCCCTCCCCTCCCAGGCCTCCTGACCCGCCCCCAACAGAAGCGGCTTGTCTTCTTTGCGCTGCGCTTGCGCAGGGCGAGATGTGTGCTGCGCCTGGGCCGGATGTGGTACCCGATTGCAGAATCTCTACTTCCCGCCAGTGACTTAAGCCCCTGGGCTCCTGTTGCCCCACGTCACGACCTGTTGGATCTCAGGGACTACAGCCACCTCCTGATCGCAACCTCAACGCCCACATTACCACTGCCCCAGCTGCCCTTGGCAAAAGACCACAATCACGACCGTCCCTGCTCCCAGTAGCGCCCAGGCCTCTCAGGATCGGGACCCGGACACTCCTCCATTAGACTGTCCCCACTTCTAGTGGCAACCAGGAACCTACATCTCAACCATACCGTCTCATGATCCCGACTGGAACCGCCCCCTCATTCAACAGGACCCCCCTCACCCCTTCCACTATCTATCAGTTCCTTCCCCTGCTCGAGACCAGGACTTGCCCATCTCATGTTTGGTATTAATACCTCCTTCCAAATCGCAATAGACCTCTCCTTTCCTACTGTGCACCTCCAGATGGTGTCCATCATGACCCCCACATCACAGTCAGAAAACCCCCACCCAAGGTCAGAACGGCCCCTCTATAACCTTCCAATCTCTGCCCTCCAGGGTCAGGGAGCCACTCAGATACCCTCTCCCTAAACTGCAACAACGGGGGAGTAAGCATTGAGGCTGCAGGTGCCTGAGACAGGTCCTCTTCCCGGACCGGTTCTCATCCCCGGAATTGTCTCTCCTTGGGAGGCGGGAGACCTGGGTTCTGCTTGGCATTGGCTCAGTACTGGCTCTGCTTGGGCTGCAGCAGTGACCTCGGAAGAATCCCTTCCCATCTCTGGGCTCACTCCCCAACCCGTGAAAGAGATGGATGGCAATGGTCGCCTACGGAACCATAGTCCTGGGCCGGACACACAGTGGGTGCCCAATAAGTGACTATCATCAAATCAAACGAAGCGTGTGGAGAGGTAAGGGAAAGCAATTTTACAAATTGGGAAGGATTATGTCCACATTAGGTGGGTTATAGTTGGCACCCACGGTGTATCAGGCCCTGTGCTGAGCGCTTTTACATGTGTATCATCTAATCTCCTCATCAGCCTTCGAGGTGGATGATTCAAGCCCACTTTACATGTGAATAAAGCTGAGGCCCAGAACCGGTAAGTATCCCATCTGTGTCTGACTCCAAAGCTCTCAGAGATGCTCAGTCTTTTCAGCTGTGAAATGACACCTTTGTCAAAGTCTCCCTCCGCCCAGTCCACTCCATGGACCCTCGCTCTCCACGGATGCCCACTTCACTGAACTTTTCAGACAGAAAAGGAGCGGGCCGTGAGAAGTGCGCAGGCGCTTTCTCCTCGCCCCAGCCCCGCCCACAGAGCACAGATGGGTGCGTGGAAAACTTGCGGGGGCCCGCCTGAGCGGCAACGCGCAGGCGCAAGGGCGCGTGCCCTACGCTACCGGCTCTGATTGGCCGCCATGAGTAAGGGCACCGCCCAATGGGAGGTGTGGATAGTGAGGGGTCCCACACGCCTGGAGCCGAGGGTCTGTGTCAAGAGCGGCAGGGGCTGCAGCAGGCAAGAGAGGCGGGTGAGGGCGCCGCGGAGCGGGCCGGGGAAGAGTGCTTGGCGTACGGAGGCGGCGGAAGGAGAATGAAGGGAACACCGCGGGTCGAAGAACCTTGGGGCCCGCGCTAGGGCGGGAGCGGCGCGGGTAGGCAGAAGAGTACTCCTTCCTGTGTGCCCTGGAGCGTTGGTTGAGGGTCTGCGGTGTGCAGCGCCCTGTGCTTGACCTCGCTCCCCCACCCCCACCCCCTTCAGGAACGCTCAGTCTGCAGGAGATGAGTCTGGTAGGAGGAAAGGGCTGTGTAGCGGGAAAGTTGAACTTCCAGGCCCTAGTGGGTTCTTTCCTGGAGGGACTTATTGATGTAGCCTGTCAAAAGCCCCTATTTCGGGCCGGCCCGTGGCTCACTCGGGAGAGTGCGGTGCTGATAACACCAAGGCCACGGGTTCAGATCCCATATAGGGATGGCCGGTTTGCTCACTGGCTGAGCGTGGTGCTGACTACACCAAGTCAAGGGTTAAGACCCCCTTCCCGGTCATTTTTAAAAAAAAAAAAAAAGCCCCTATTTCGGGCCGGCCCGTGGCTCACTCGGGAGAGTGCGGTGCTGATAACACCAAGGCCACGGGTTCAGATCCCATATAGGGATGGCCGGTTTGCTCACTGGCTGAGCGTGGTGCTGACTACACCAAGTCAAGGGTTAAGACCCCCTTCCCGGTCATTTTTAAAAAAAAAAAAAAAGCCCCTATTTCGGGCCGGCCCGTGGCTCACTCGGGAGAGTGCGGTGCTGATAACACCAAGGCCACGGGTTCAGATCCCATATAGGGATGGCCGGTTTGCTCACTGGCTGAGCGTGGTGCTGACTACACCAAGTCAAGGGTTAAGACCCCCTTACCGGTCATCTTTAAAAAAAAAAAAAAAGCCCCTATTTCTCCTCCTAGTAGTTCACAATCCAAGATAGGGGAAGGGAATGTAGATGAAGAAAGTGCAGATTTCAGGTCTCCTGGCCCACCTTCTAGAGAGACATTTATCAGATGCCTACTTAGTGCAGTCCTTGCAGCCGGCACTGGACCTTCTCCTAGGGGAGTTCTCTTGTTTTCAGTGGGGCTGTAAACAAGGAAAAATGGAAATCTGGTAGACTACTTCCGAGAAGATCCTTTATGGAATGGCTATTGTGTGCAAGGCGTTGGAATATTAGATAAGGAAGTTTAGCTACGGGACTTGTAGTAAATCATTTACTCAAGGAGCATTTATTAGGCACCAACTGAAAGCGAGGCCCTGTGTTGGGCTGTGTATTGTGTGAATTCACGGTCTAATGGGACGGCTGGTCTGGTAAAAAGTGGGATGTACACAGGGACGGTTAAACTCCCAGGGCCTCACTTCCCGGAGGGAGCATTACTCATTCACTAAATTTCTACTGAGTGCCTACTGTGTGCTAGGCATTGTTTTCGGCATTGGAAATACCTAAGTGATGAACAGGCTAAAATCTCTGTCCTCTGGGAGCTTAATGTTTACAGCTTTTGCATGCAAGGCTATGAGCTAAATTCCACCTGCCCTCTGGCACTAACAGATGAGGTGAAGAAGAGATAAAGAAAGTGGGGATTGGGTTCAGATTAATTTCTGAAAGAAGAAGGATTGGATTCAGAAGATTAGTTTCTGGGCATGGGAGGTGGCAGTGACTTGCTGAATGGACTTAGCTGCTGCTGTGTGAAGGGGTGTGGGTTGGGTTGAACCCACACAAGTAGAAGGGGAGACACTGCACATAGAGGGAAGTTTGAAAGCTAAAATTCCTGTCCCTAGTCACTGGTTTTGCTGGTGACTAGGGCTCCCACAATGAAACAGACTTCCCCTGCCTACAAGCTCTCAGTCCAGTGAAGAACACAGAGATGTCATCACAAGCTCAATATATTTGCTATAATAGAGGTGGCACAGGATACCATAGGAACCTGAAGAGGTGGGAGTGGCCAACATCCTGAGGATGTGGAGATATTGTCATAGAAGGATTCACAAAGGAGACGCTGGGTAGGAATTTGCTAGATAAGAAGAAGAGAGAATTTTCTTTGGCAGAGGGAATAGCAGCATCAAAGACTTAAGGTCCAGAAACAGCCTTTCTATAGCTAACCTTTATCAGGTGCCAAAGATTTTGTCGTCAGTACTACGTTTAACCCCATTTTACAGGTAAGAAAACAAAAAGGTGGGCCGAGCCCATGGCTCACTCGGGAGAGTGCGGCGCTGGGAGCGCAGCGGCACTCCCGCCGCGGGTTCGGATCCTATATAGGGATGACCGGTGCGCTCACAGCGTTCACTGGCTGAGCGCGGTGCGGCCAGTCTCAAAAAGGACAAAAAAAAGAAAAAAGAAAACAAAAAGGGAGAAAGTAAGTGGTCGGTCTCAGATTCAAGCCAAGGGCAGTCTGGTTACAGAGTCTGTGCTCCTAAACTCTTTGCTGTATTTCTGTGTATGTGTAAGAGAAGGAGGAAAGATGTTGCACAAAAAAGAAACCACACAGTCAAAGGCTGGGAGGCCCAAAAAGACATGCTATGTTCTCAGAAAGGGTGTGACTGGCCCTCTGGAAGGAGGGCAGCATCAGAGATCAGACTGAAGAGTGCTGTCTGTCTCTTGCAGATGCTTCACTGCCATGGCACATGGATAGGCTTCAGAGACACGGGATCATCGAAAACTGAAGCATAAACATTGGATTAAGTCTTGTTGATTAATAGAGGCTGGTGAGTACTGGATGGACGAGGGAACTTCTGAGACATCCTCCCTTCCCTTGGGTTCCTGGTATCTTACTCCTGCCCTTTTTTCTCCAGGAACTGCCTTCCCCACAATGGCAGAGATGGTGGCTAAGGTGGCAGCTGAGGTTGCTGAGATGCCAACACAGATGTCACTGGAGGCAGTGGAGATGTCAACACCATTGTTAGGGGAGATGACAGAGATGTCAACAGAGGTGACTGAGATGACACCTGGGGAGGCCCTTGCCTCATCCCTCTTCTTCCAGCACCACCAGTTCATGTGCTCTGAGTGTGGCAGCCTTTACAACACACTGGAGGAAATCCTCTCACACCAGGAGCAGCACATGCCCACTATCTCAGAGGAGGAGGCACTGACCACCCAGGATGCTGGCTTAGAGCCAGACCTGGTGCCAGGCACTGAAGAGGGGCCTTTCCAGTGTGGTGAATGCAGCCAGCTCATCCTCTCCCCAGGTGAGCTCCTGGTCCACCAGGACACCCACCTTCGGGAGTCTGCAAGCCAGATCCAGTACCACTGTGTAGACTGCCAGCAGCTGTTCCCTTCACCTGAGCTGTGGGTGGCTCATCGCAAGGCCCAGCACCTTTCTGCTACAGTTGAGCCACCAGTGCCACCTCCTTTACCTACCCCAACACCACCGCCCCCACCCCCTCCACTACCCGAAGTCAAGATGGAGCCCTATGAGTGTCCTGAGTGTTCCACGCTCTGTGCCACCCCTGAAGAGTTCTTGGAGCATCAGGGCACCCACTTTGATTCCCTAGAGAAAGAAGATCGTAATGGGCTAGAGGAGGAGGAAGAAGATGAGGAGGATGAAGAAGATGACGATAAAGAGACAGAGAATGAGGAGGAGGTGGCGGCAGAGGCCGGCGATGATGCTATGGGAAGTGACAAGTCCACAGCTGGCCAGGCCCAGGGCTGTGGAGATTGTCCCCAAAACAAGACCTCAGGAGGAGCACGCCGGCAACACCGGCGGGCATCTCACAGCCCAGCATCAGCAGCCCACCCCTTCCACTGTAGCCAGTGTCAGCGCAGCTTCAGTTCAGCAAACCGGCTGCTGGCTCATGGGCGGGCCCACATAGGGGGCACACATGAGTGTACAACCTGCTCTAAGGTCTTCAAGAAAGCAGCCTCGCTAGAGCAGCACCTGCGGCTGCACCGCGGCGAAGCCCGCTACCTCTGTGTAGACTGTGGCCGTGGCTTTGGCACAGAACTCACATTGGTGGCCCACCGGCGAGCCCACACTGCCAACCCATTGCATCGCTGTCGCTGTGGCAAGACATTCAGCAACATGACCAAGTTCCTCTACCACCGGCGCACTCATGCTGGCAAAAGCGGGGTGCCCCCCGTGGCAGCAATAGCCTCCCCAACTCCAGCTGAACCCAGCCCTCCACCACCGCCTCCTGCCCCACCTGCCCAGTTGCCCTGCCCACAGTGCTCCAAGTCCTTTGCCTCGGCTTCCCGGCTCTCCCGGCACCGTCGTGCAGTCCACGGGCCCCCTGAGCGGCGGCACCGCTGCGGGGTTTGCGGCAAGGGCTTCAAGAAGCTGGTGCATGTGCGCAACCACCTGCGGACACACACAGGTGAGAGGCCCTTCCAGTGCCACTCATGTGGCAAGACCTTTGCTTCTTTGGCCAACCTCAGCCGCCACCAGCTGACCCACACAGGTGTGCGTCCCTACCAATGCCTGGACTGTGGCAAGCGCTTCACACAGAGCTCCAACCTGCAGCAGCACCGGCGACTGCACCTGCGGCCAGTCGCCTTCGCCCGCGCCCCCCGCCTCCCCATCACAGGTCTCTACAACAAGAGCCCCTACTACTGTGGGACCTGCGGCCGCTGGTTCCGTGCCATGGCAGGCCTGCGACTGCATCAACGGGTTCATGCCCGAGCCCGGACTATCACACTGCAGCCTCCCAGATCACCACCTCCTGCCCCGCCCCCACCCCCTGAGCCTCAGCAGACTATCATGTGCACAGAGCTGGGGGAGACCATTGCCATCATTGAGACATCCCAGCCGCTGGCGCTTGAAGACACACTGCAGCTGTGCCAGGCTGCACTGGGGGCCAGTGAAGCGAACGGGCTGTTGCAGTTGGACACGGCCTTTGTGTGACATAGCTGAAGAGCAACAGTAAAAGGGTTTGGTTGCACAGCGAGTGTGGGTACCTCTGAGAAAGAGGACCACTCCTCTGGCAAGCTGATCTGGCCCCCACTGTGTGCCAGCATCTGCTTGACCTCTTTTATCCACTGACTCCTCAGAACAGCCCTGCCAGGTTTCTCTTGCCACCTTTCTCTGCCTGAGGGGAAACTGAAGCTCTGAGATGCCATGTGATCTGTCCCAGGTTACCCCGCTGCATTGCAAAGGGCATTGCCAAGACTTTTTCACTGCATCACCCTGGTGCTCAGCACCATCAGGTAACCTTTACTGAATACCAACAGTGTGCCTGGTCTGTGTAGGGCACTCTCATATACCTCTTCAGATCCTCTGTTTGTCCCTTCAACCCTAGCCTTCCGTGGACTTTGGGGACCCAGGACTTGGCTCTGCCTGGTGGAGAAAGGCACCTGACTTCTCTGGGCTTCCTTCATCTCGGTTTTGACAATGTGGAAGGAAATCTGTAGTAACCCACATACTCAGTTCCAGACTGGGTGATGCTGGAGACCCAGAAATGAGTCAGACATGGCTCTGCCCTCAGGAGGCATGCATGGTCTGGTAGGAGGAACACACACAAGTACAGATGGCTTGTTCTCTGAGTGTGTCTCCTTGATTCATTCAGCCTCTGTGTCCTAAGGCCTTCCTCCCGCCTACTAGGTGATGCTGGGGGCCAGAGACAGTCAGGTCTAAGGATTCTCAGGGCTGTGATGGGGATGTGCAAGGGATCCCAGAGCAGGGAACAAACCTCCATAGTGAGAGATCAGGAGTCAAGAGACTTCCTAGAGGTGGTAGTCCCTGAAGAAAAAGTAGGAATCTGCTTGTGGAAAAGGAAAAGAACATTCCAGGCAGACAGCACTGCAAGAGGAGGGTGAGTTCTTGGTAGGTTTGGAGACCGTCCAATTATTCACAACTACAATATCAGTGAACATTTGCCTAGCTGTGGCAGGCACTGCACTTGGCACTTTGCTAAGTATGCTGTGTAAGCCTGCTATGATCCCGACAGACTTGTGAGATAGATCTCAATATTATCCCTGTTACACACATGAAAAAACTGAGGACAGAGACATGCCCAAGGTCTCGCAGCTAGGCAGAGGCATTGTGAGATATGAACCCAGGTGGTCCCGAGCCCACTTTTGTAACCAGTACTGTTCTGAGTGATTGAGACCTGAAACTTGTGCAAGGGCTGGGGAGTCAGAGGATTCATTCTAACTGGAGGAAAAGTGAGTCTACAGAGCAGTTGGGATTTGAGGGGGTCGTGAAAGATCAAGGGTCTTGGAAGAAGGGGATCCCCAACTTTTTCAAGAGTTACTTGGGATAACAGTTTTTAGCTCCCTAAGTAGATGCAGATGATTATTGGCAGTTCAATGGGGCAGGCTTCTTCTAAGCCTCTGCAGACTGGGGTGCTTGGGTAGGTGAAACAAAATGCAGCTGGTGATGGGAATTGTCCAGAGGGAGGCCTAGACCTAGGAAGGCCTTGAAAACTGGGCTGTGTAGTTCAGGACAGCGCAGGGGGTGGGGTGGGGTGGTCATAACTCTTAGGTCTCCCTGGGGTCAGAGTGGGGTGAGTGGGAGGCTGGGATGGTCCCGGGGGAGAGAACAGGGTCAGAGCTGGGCAGGGGCCATGGGAGTGGGAGGAGAATGAGGGATACCCTCAGTGATCTCGTGGTTGACCAGATGTGAGCAATGGGGAGGAAGGGGTCCCCAAGAGCCCAAGGTCTGCCCTTTGCCCGGACCAGCCATCCTCCCACTTGTCCAGTGTACTTGCTCTATGTATTCATTTTACAAACAAGGTGCCAATTCAGATTATGTTAAGCAAGGGAGGGACAATGTCTGTCTTGGGCAATATAAAGATGCCCCGGTGAGTGGTATAAACAGATTGGAGAGCCTAGACACCACAGTAACAGTTTCTGAACTCCCTCTGGGACCTGTTCAAAACCCCTCCCTTTTTGTTCACAAGTGGAATCCAGCAGAGGACATGTCAGTTGCTCCTCTCCAGGCTCCCTTCCACTTCTGGGGCCTCCTGCCCACGCCTACTGCTTGGCACCACGTGGAGAAAATACCATTTCCATCTGGCCCCAGTACGTTTTAAAAGTGAGGGGGAAAGCCAAGCTCTTTGCCCCAACACCCCTAGAAGGTGGACAAGGTAGGTGCCCTGTTTAAGACAAGGAAATGAAGCCTTTTGGGTTCTTCCCCTGGTCATGCCCACCCAACTTGAGAGTCTACAAGCAGGCTAAGTTTTGTCCTGAGTAACCCCTCACCTAGTGTCCCCACCAGACCCTGAAGTATCAGGCAGCTCCAGCAGAGACAGATAGCCCTTTGTTCAAATCTTGACACCGCCTCTTAAGCTCTGTGGCCTTGACCACTCTGATGCCCAATTTTCTCACCAGTCTCTAGGGATGCTAATCCTTCCCCCTCTGAGCAACAGATGATTTATGCTGGGTCATGGGGTAGGTTCCTCCCAGGGCACTGCAGTGGAGAAGCCAGATGGAGCCACCATCCCCACAGGTGCAGAGGAGAAAGCTAAGGTGCAAGAAGGTTGGACACCAGAGTGAGGGCTAAGACTCGGGCCTCCCTACATTCCCTTGCCTTAGAGGCAGTACACTCCTGTCCTGGAACAGCTCCCCAAGCACCCCCCCTCACCTCGGTGGAAATAGGCAGCCAAACAGGAGCAGGTTTTCATGCCAATAATTTATTGAACGGAGGTCTGTACACAGGCAAACCTTACTGTGGAAACTAAGACATCAGGAGCCCTCCCCATTCCCCCGGCCCTCTAGGGTGGGGAAAGGAGGGAGGAGACCTTGAGGGCAGAGGACAAGAGGGGAGATACAGCTGTAGGAGGGGAAGGGGCCAGGTTGGACAGTGCGAATCGACGTTTTCTTTAAGAAAAAAATTATAACAATCTATTTACACCTGGGGGCAGAGAAAGGAAGAGGAGATGGGCTGGGCCGGTTCTATTTACAAGGGACACAAGAGGGGGGATGGGGGTTGGAGGAAGTGGAGGCCTGGGGGTAGGGGTGGGGCCAAGGGGGTAGGAGATCCTCATCCCCCAACCCCCCCGTCCTTCCTTCTTTTCCCTCCCTACGACCAGTTAAGATCCTCTTAAAAAGCCCACCACAGGGGTGAGGCTGGTGAGGGAAGGACTGGAGGTGGGGACAGGGACTCATTTACCTCTGCTCTCTAGTCTAGGGGCCCAGCCAGGGCAGGAGCTTGATGAGCTACGGGCCCCCTTCCCAGCCCCACTTGGGGCTCCCAGATGGAGGTGGAAGGGAGTCGGTAGGGCCCTCAGGAAGAGTTAGTGAGGCTGGGTGCGGCATCAGGCGACTGCCAGTCTGAGCCAGTCTGAGCTTCAGTTAAAGCTGAAGTAGGGGGAGGGAAGGAAGAAGACAATTAGACTTTCAGGCACACACCCTCACCCTCACCCAAGAATAGGAAAATTTGGTGTAAGATGCTACATTAAAAGTTGAAAGCTGTCGCTTCAGATCCAGGGTTGCAAACTCAAATGCCAAGGGGCCAGGTTGATAATTGAGTGACTCATACCACAGAGCCAGGCTCCACATAAAAGATGCAGCTGGAACTCAGCTTCACCTGCCTACTGTCAGGAGGAAAGCAGGCCCACTGCTACCAAATCTGATTTTCCTCCCCAAGAGAAACAGGAAATCTGGATTTTTACAAAATAGCCTGATTTTTAAATGTAGGCAGCAAATTTAACTTTGTTCAGACTGAACATATTTTTTTGGGTTTTCCAGTCAGCTTTTAAACACCAACGTAGGCAATAATGGTCATCATTCACATACTACAAAATATGCTTTCTATGCCATCAAAATGCCAACAACTAAAAATTATGTGCAGGAAACCCAGGGACTGTGAGAATGACCCCGCACCTCCCAGTTTGATAATGCTGCTTTAACCATCAGCAGATGACCCCCAACTTACCTTGTGAGGACGGGGTGAGGGTGGTAGTGCCCGCCGGGGACCTCAAGTGAGGAGGGATGAGAATGGCATTGAGAGATGGTTGGATGGAGAGTTCTAGAGACAGAAATTGGCATTCCCAGTCAGGATGAGTGCAGGGCATATGAAGACCTGGTTAGGGTTACGATGGGGCACCAAATGGGGACCTGCTATTGGCAGGGCCAGTTGTTTGTGAATATTTGTAGCCACAGAACCCTTAAAATGAAAAACCAGAAAGAGCCTAACACAAGGCAGTTCACAGTAGAGTGCAACTGAAACAGGTTTGCTTCTCCCTGAAGCTGGGGAGCATCCTCCGTGAGCCCCAGACCTGCCTTGTTACCACCTCCCCCAGCTTCCCACTCCCATTTTCAATACCAAGTTCGTCCCTACTATCTTTGGCTACCCCTCCAGCTCCCCAGATCCCAGGTTGTACCCTCACCGCCAGGACTGAAATTGAAGAGGGGGGGAAGCGGGCGGTTGTTGGGGAGCTGGGTTCCAAGACATCGCAGTTCATCAAAGAAGCTGTGGGCGCAGGCCTCTAGTGGGGAGAGTCTCGAGGACGGTGTATACTCCAGCAGACTAGAGCAGAGTGCGATGGCCTCGGGCGGCGTTCGAGATTTGAACACCTGAGGGAGGGAGGTATAAGGGGTCATGAGGGTTAGAGATGCCACAGGCACTGGCGTCCTCCTGTATCTCACTGCCACAGTGCCCGGGCAGATACAACTGCCTGCCTCCCACAAACCCACCTTCCAAATGAGGAAACTGAGACACAACCACTGAGGGGAGGTCAGTTTGTATCGGGTATGCAGCCAGCCCAGGTCCCATGTATGAGCCTCAGTTTCCCTGCCATAAAAACGGGAATCTTGAATTTACTTATAGTTCCTCAACTTTTAAAATTCCATAAACTCTGAAATCTGATAAAAGTTTTTGACCCACTTCCTGGATAACTTCATATCTGCCCAAGCCATGATTCTGAAGCCAGGTCCCAGACCAGTTGGCCTTCAAGGGAGACCCAACCCTCAGCTAAGCTGCCTGAGCCCCTAGCCCTGCCCCGACCTTTGTCCAGGGGTGAGCTTTAATCTGGGGAAACTTGAACTCCGTGTAGTTGGGGTTCATCTCTCGGATTTGTTCCCGGGTTGGTGTTCCCAGCACCTGTAGGGAGAGAGAGGTGTCTGAGAGAAGGGCTCCTATCCCTCAGCCCCGCCCCCTGCCCACCCTGGACCGGCCCTCACCTTGATGATCTCCACCAGCTGGTCCACCCCACTGTCCCCAGGGAAGATGGGCTGGCCGAGGAGGAGCTCAGCCAGTACACAGCCAGCTGACCACACATCTGAAGGGAAAGGGGGGTGGAGAGAGGGCTAGGTGAGCAGGGCCACCAAGCCCATCCTTTCACAAGCCCATTCCCCTCATGGCCATCCTCAGAGGTGTCAGGAGCCCAATTTTCTCAGCTCAGAGAGGAAGCAACTGGCCCAGGGGGATACACGGCTTAGGAAAACTGGAGCCTGACCTTGAACTTCCAGGTCTGCCCGACTTCACTGCACTCTAGTCTAGGTATGTTTCCAGCCCTCTCCCTCCACTCAACAACGCCAATGAGCCCTTTCTCTGCCTCTACCCTTGGTAGACAGGCCAAACTAGGCCCAAACCTGCCAAC